AGATGTGATTTTCTTCATTTCGAATGTCATTGTTTCACTAGAATTTTTTTGCTAAACTGAAAAATGTTTGTAAAAGAGTAATACTGCCACCTACCCGTTTGTGACGTCACGGTGCGGTATCGGCTGTTGATCAAGTCCCAGTTGATCAAGTCCCAGCTATTATCCAAGTCATCTTGAAAACATTCTTCTTCCAAATGTTGGCTGCATATTACAGGTTTTTTCTGTGGCCAGAAGTTCAATGACAAATTCTCCCTCTTTAAATTGGCAATCCAACGACCAGGATGCAGTAACCCGTCGGTGATCGATCATGAATCGGAAAGGTGAAATAACACATTTTTTTTCACTTTTACCCGATATATTCCAACATCCAACTGCCACGCACATGGGTATTGTCAGTTTAACTATAGCTCTGGTGAATTTCAATGTTGAAGTCCTCTTGAAATCTTAAATAATTGCAGGTGTGTCTAGTAGTTTATACTGATTTTGTTTGTAAAGCAGAGAGGATGGCTTGATGGCATGATGTCACTGCAGGAAGAGGTGTAACTAAAATTGGGCAAGAATGGCCGGTCCCGGACTCAGTGATCTCGACGAAATGATTATTTTAATTTTTTTACTGATTAACACTAAATTCATTAAATCACAGAGAACGCATTAGTTTAAGGTATAAAAAATGATCCATTTATTATTCCTTGCTGACTGAACTTTTCCCTTAAATATCAATACATTCCTTCTATTGCACAGATTCAGCTTTTAACCACAGTCGACGTATTTTTCATGGTTCATGTCGTGGTATTCTTGGAGTTTTAGAAAAACAAATAGAATTTTTTTAAAGCAATTTGGTGATCATTGTACACAAAACATTTTTTGTGTGAATCTTATAATTCAATTCACTTTCTGCAATACAAATGCTTTTGCTACAAAAGCCCCATGCATGATACTACCACCATCTTGCATAATAAATCAGTGGTCTTGGGTTTAAAGGCTTCACATCACAACAGCAAACACGTTTCCCTTTCAGTATTGTCAATGAGCTGAGTAAGATGAAGGCATTTCAATTGTGTGGAAATTCGACAGGAGTTTAAAATTGAAATATTCTAAATAACTGGCATATTTCCATATCAGAACTCCTAGCTGCTGATAGTGTAAAAGTGGCTTAGGAGCTGACAATGACACTGTTGCTTCAGCAATTTACAGGTCAGAGCAGGCTTGAACCTTGGTGAGTCCATGAGTCACCAGTCATCTGTCTATTTGCAGGCTCTGTCAATGGAGAGCAGGTTCTGCCCGTGTCACACTGTATGTAAATATGACTGTTTAGGGCAGGATGCTTACACTCTGTATCCTGCAGCTTTTATATGTGTCTCCTGCCCTACACATCCGGATCAAATGGCTAAACGACCCCTCTAGCATCAGCCAAAAGCTCTGCTAATGAGCTCATACTGCAGACAGGTGTGCTGAAGCAGAGACACATCTAGCAGTAGCAGGATACCGGTCCTCTGGGATTCGAGTTCAAGACTCCTGGTTTAGAAGCTAAAGGATGCAGCATTGAGCTGAGGGGCTAAGTAGTTCTTCTTTAACCACTTTCCATCAAACACTACCTCTTTAATGTATCTTGTTTAAAATGAAAATTACCGATCAAACCTGAATAAGATGACTTTACACTAAAGATCCCTAAAATAATGACTAATATTTATGAAACCTGCATTATGAAGCAATAAAAGTCGGTATAGATACCTTGTTTTATTCCTTCAAGGAAGCAGAAGATGGGGTTTAACCTTGAGCAGGGGTTTAAGAACTCTACAGAACTAAGAAAGTGACCCAATGAAGATATGTATGATTTTTTTTCTCATATAAAATATAGAGTACTGTCCAGGGTGTACCCTGCCTCTCGCCCATTGACTACTGCAATAGGCTCCAGTACCCCCTGCAACCCCATTAGGAAATAAGTGGTTAGGATAATGGATGGATGAAAAAATATGGAGTGAAGTACATATTATTTTTTAAAACGACACTGAATCCATTATTTTAATTCTATTTAACTACTGTATGTTATTAGACATTTCATTATTTAATTGTGCATTTTATCATTTTCTGTAATATTAACTTTAATAGTTTCATCAAAATAAATTAAACGTACCCTGTAATATCTGCATATATCCTTCTGCATTTATCATTATTTGTTACATGTAACATTTTGGCCCTCCGGATTCCTCAGGGATCACAGTTATTATAAAAATCAGCCCTCACATCCTGGTCCTCTGGGTGGCCCTGATCCGTACTTTAGGAACAACAGCAACTTAAACATTTCTATTTAATATTGGTCTCTTTCCCTAAAGCTGTTTCTAGATGGGTCCGTCTTAATCTGCCCTGATAGCTGGCCTTAATTGTTCATATGATTCAGCTGTTTAATTGTGCCCAGACTCTAATCACTCCTCATTTCATCCACCTGCATCTGTTCCTTTATATTTGGCTTACCCAGCTATCAGGGCCAGATCATTGTTTGCTTTCTGTTTTAATGTCTGTGAGTTCTGTTTTAGTTAGTCCAAGGTTCATGTCCCGGTTCCAATGAGAAGATTATTCTGGAGCCGGAGTCTTCAGGCGAGTTTGTTCCCTAACCAGTGGGGAGAGCGTTTCAGTGTTTCCTTTGTTATTCTGATTTCCTGATTCTGTTCCCTCTCACCCACTGGACATGTCTGTACCCATCTGATCTGTTCGCCTGAACCACCTTTTGACTCCCGCTTGATCCTGCCTGTCTGTGCGTTTCTGTCTGAGCTTGTTGCTCGACGCACGGGACTCTGAACCTGCCTTCATTCTCTGAGGATTCCTGGAAGCCTGTATCCATCTGTTCCTGTTTTGGTTGGAACCTCTGATCAAGTGGAGGTCTCCTGGATTCCTGAACTGTTCCTGCCTGCTCTGTCTGCCCTGTCAGCTTCCTGCATGTTCTGTGGGGCTGCAGCATCGGGGACACTCTGGGCGGCTCAGGGCCGCATCTCGTTAGTGCATCTGCTTATCGTGCCTATAATTGAGATGATGGACTGAACTGTCAAACCAGAGTGTCTGTGATCGGGCAGTGACCCCCCACCCCCACGATACCAGTAATTCCACAGCTCTGCATTTCTATTCTGTTTCGATCTAAGCCAGTATGTAAACTTTATAGCACCTTTCACAGATAAAAATCACAAAGTGCATAAAATACCACACACAAATATCACAAGACTTATAAATTATAGAATACTTACATTTCAGTAAATATTTTTCACAATAAAAGTCTATTTAGGTGCATATTAAAAAAAAAACATGGAGAGGGGGGCAGGGTATTACAGTCTGGAGGTTACAGCTGGGAAGGACAAGTGACTCCCAGTTTTAAACCAGGTCTTAGGGACCTTCAAAAGGTTTTGGCCCAATGAACAGAGAAGACAGCGTGATTATTGGGTCTCAGATGTATTGGGATCTCTTTAGTTAAACTTTAAAAGTCAGAACTGTATAATGTGCAATTAATATTTAATACCCTGTGCAATAACCAGTTTCTTTACCCAGTGCAATTGTTATATAGATAAATACCCATCTAAATACCATGTGCAATGGCCATCTTTTGCTTTGATTACTGCTTCGCACACTCGTGGCATTCTCTTGATGAGCTTCAAGAGGTAATCACCTGAAATGGTTTTCACTTTACAGGTGGGATTTCTTGCCTTATAAATGGATTTGGGACCATCAGTAGTTTTGTCAGCTCAGAAGTCAGCTGATACACAGATGATAGTCCTACTGAATAAACTGTTAGAGTTTTTATTATGGCAAGAAAAAAAAGTAGTTAAGTAAAAAAACAATGAATGGCCATCACTACTTTAAGAAATGAAGGTGAGTCAGTCTGAAAAATGGCAATAATTTGGAAGTGTTTCCAAGTGCAGTTGCAAAAACCATCAAGTGATACAAAGAAACTGGCTCACATGAGAACCGCCCCAGGAAAGGAAGACTAAGAGTCACCTCTCCTGCAGAGGAGAAGTTCATCTGAGTCACCAGCCTCAGAAATCACAGGGTTAACAGCAGCTCAGATTAGAGAGCAGGTCAATGAAACACAGAGTTCTAGCAGCAGACACATCTCTAGAACAACTGTTGGGAGGAGACTGCGTGAATCAGGCCTTCATGGTAAAATAGCTGCTAGGAAACCACTGATAAAGCTGTGAGCCTTTCTGTTTGTTACTGTTAAAAGCCTTGCTGCAGCTTTCTGGACCAACTGGAGGGGAGTGATGCTGATTTCTTAAAACAAATAAAAAAAAAAAAAGTTACAATTTAACTGAGGGTAAAAAAACAAACATGAAAACTCTCCCCCAGATCTAGTTTGGGGAATCAGTCTCTGCCTTATTTCAGAGATATTTCTTATGTGACGTAATAAAATTGTAACTAAAGGTTTTCAATACAAATCCAGGAACATTAACTAATAAAAAAAACAAACAAAAAAAAAACACCAAGGTTTTCTTAGACTGGTCTGGAACGAGGATCCTGGGAGCCAAACTGTCTGATCACAGAAACTTTCTGTTCTGGAGCAATGATCTGAGATGATCAAAGTCATTAATAAAAGAAAAACAACAGGTCAGGTGACTAAAAATTATATATAAAGCATATAAATAAATAGTAGGAAACGTTTTTATCCTTCCACTGCTTTTCACAACCTCCACTGCCCTGCAGCTTTTACGCACATCCCTGATCCAACACAGCTGACTGAAATTATTTATTATCTGTCATCAAGTTGGACAAAGACCTGATAACGAGCCACTCATTTAGTGCAGGTTAGCTGGAGCAGGGATGAGCTTTTAAACTGCAGGGCAGTAGATCAGGAGTCAGAGACCCCAGATCTGGGCCAGCCGAGTCTCTGTGCCTCTAAACATCCGCGTCGGAGCGCATCAGGCTGCTCCCCGCTGACTGCTTCAGAGTGGGAGAGAGAGGGAGAGAGAGAGGGGGAGAGAGAGAGAGAGAGGGAGGGAGAGAGAGGGGAGCGCGCGCTGCTGTTGCTCATAAACCTCATCGCGCCACGCGCCGCATCCTCCTTTTCTCTCTATCTTCGCCACAGAGCTGCAGTGAATCTGTCTGTCCTGCTGAGTTCCCGCAGCTTCGTACCGGAGATCCTGCAGCCAACAGCTTTTTCACCTGACTGACAAGATCTTTTCTCCCCCTGCTCTTTTTCCGCGGGGACACCAAGACGCAACTGAAGTCCACTTCTGCAGCAAAACTCCCCCCACGAACACGCTTCCATCATGAGTGAGGTGAGTTTTAAACAGCAATGCATTGAAATGTTCCGGATCAGAACCGGAGATCCTCACACAACAAGTGCAATCGGGAGTTAAATGTTTGCGCGCCGCAGTCCTGTTAACGCACCTTATCCCCCGCAACCCAATACACACGCACAGGATTCCCCGCAGCCTGAAGGCGCGGCTCCAGAACCAGAACAGAATGTTTTAGCTGCAGCTCTTCTGACTCCTTCTTGGCTTTGGTCCAGAAACACTGCAACCAGCAGATCCACCGCTGACACCAGCCTCTGGCCCGGTGCGCACCGCCAACATCTGCTGGCTTCTCCCAGTGCGGGACCTGAGAGCATATGACATGACATGACATTTGGATTCAGTCTTTAGAAAGAAGTTGACATTTATCCCATTCATTGAAATGTTCTGCATTTTCTGCAAGAAATGTTTGCATAAGCGGAATATTTATTTATTTATTTATTTATATTAGCAGAGATGAACTGGATTTTAAGGTATAACTTAATTTAGACAAAGTCTAAATGAGGTCGATTAGGAAAAAAAAAAACATTTTCCACATCTTTTGTTATTTTATTGTAAACTGCTTTTTACCTTACATAAAATGAACCAGCTTAAACACAAGCTTCTGCACAAAAACATCCTCTGGTGACATCAAATACGGCTCCACATAGATGGTCACAGGTATTTGTTTCTTATCATGGATGGAACTAGTGTCACTTTTTTATACCTTGCCAAAGAGGAATATGAAGAAAAATGTGTTGGTTGCATCTAAAAATGAGTAGAAGAAAAAAAAGACTTTGTGAAACATGAGACACTTTCCTGTGTTCTGTTAGTTGTTTTTAGCACCTGCTCTGTTGACTGCATGTGTAGTGAGATCCAGTTAAAAGGACTGGGAAAATGACTTGCTTGTGAAATCATTGTGTTGTTTCATCATCATCATTATTATTATTATTATTATTATTATTATTATTATTATTATTATTACTATTATTATTATTATTGTTATTATTATTATTATTATTATAAATCCACTTAACTTCTGGGAATGCATTTTTTTCTCTAATGACCCCCCCCCTCCCCTGTGATCAGATAATTTTAAAGCAAATTATTCAGAAAAAAATGCCACTGTTCCAGTTTCAAGCATTCAGCATGCAAAGGGGAGTGAAACCTTTGCAATCCATAGTATAACAGTAATTCATATTGTGTTTTAGACATTGAGGGCTGGAGAATAAATTACATTCACTATATGTTTACAATGTAAAAAAGGCTCTTGTCGTTTAGGTAGTGATAAAGCGCTTGAAGCAGGTTTGCCGCCACACAGAAGGGAAGAGAGGATGGTAGCTAGAGCACAGAATAATCACTTTTCCATGCGACGGCAATATCCAGCAACCAGTGAAAGATTATTTAAGCCCATGAAAGCAATAAAACCCAGGATATGCATATGTTTGTGGTCCTGCAGAAGAAAATCGATATGCAATCCACACTACCTTAAAGGTACGCTGTGTAACTTTTAGCCACTAGGGGCGCTGGACCTGAAACTCCCATCTCTAGCACCCCTAGTGGCCACAAGCGCTGCAGCAGTCAGCTGGTCAGCTTCCGTGATTTTTGATCAGGGACCACACTAGGCATCTAGGTTTAGCTCAGAATGTTTGAGAAACGCTGGTTCTCACTGGAGAGCACTGCCGGGGCAGACCACGCCACGCAGAGAATAGTGCAGAGGGACTGGTTCGGACCTGGAATCTTGGTTAGCATTTGTTTGTATCCTGCTAGCTTTCTCTGCCCGTATTTTTCTTCTACTAAACATGAAAAATAATAAAGATATATGACTGTATACTTGGAGCGAAGTGTTAACTTACCAATTGAGAAATGAGAATCGGTTTTACATCCAGCTACTTCTTTTCAGCCTGCTCCAACGAATAAACTCCTTTCCAAGATCGACTCTTGTTTTTCCTCACGTACCATCCCTTTCACGTTTTCTATTTTTTTGCCTCGTCAGAAGGTTTACATTTTTTCCTTGCCTACGCCATGACCAGTAGTACAGCAGGCGAAAAAATACTAAAGCAAAAGCTTTAGCTCCATGACTATATGACCTATATAAGAAGCTGCGGCCATGAAGCAATATGTTCTTCCGGGTCACATGACCGGGAGGAACGATGGTGCGTCTTCTCCCGACTTAAATAGGCGGTATTTCAAAAGGGGAGCCACACTCGTAGCATTTATAATGTCAAGCGCTGTATATTGGTCTGATGAATCATTCAAAATAACTTATACGCATCACTCTTTAGATCACAAAGTCTGCGCTGTGCCTTTAATTACTGTTATAACAATTTTGCTATATTTTAGTTTCATTAAGAATTCTGATGCAGGAGCAAAGATGTACATGATTAATTGGCTAAATGGGCTTATGGCTGCATGAGGTAATCTATGAATATTTTGTATTTGCTATAGGATAAAGTATTAGCATATCAATAAAAAGAGATGCATCTTCCTACAGTCTGTACATTTAAGTCACAATTAAAATAAATACATTAAATTCAAGAAAACTGTTTGGCAAAGCATTTAATCATTTTTATAACTGACTATAAGTACGCATTGAAGTAAAAAAAATAATACAATAAAACTTCTAGAGAGGGGTTATAATATAAAATGTCTGAAGAAGTAAAGAGAAAGTGCTTTTAATTTAGTAAAACTACTAGTAGTTTGCTGACATAGTTCACATCTTTTCTTTTTTGTTGTTGAGTCTACATCCTAAAGTGTTCAAAGGTACCAAAAAAAGGCCCACAAAACGACGTGCAAGGTGTAGTGCAATGAGTGGTTCCCAAAACTTTGGAATGAGCATAAGAAAAAGTGCTTTTATTTTGAAAAGAACAGCAAGTCTTGTAATTATGTTAGTTTTAACAGCAAAATAACTCAATGTTAAAGGTAAGTTAAATGGTTTTAAAAACATTGCCCGATCATTTTTAACCTTTTATACATGACACCCACTTGTTATTAAATCAAACACACACTTTTGTGCATGATGTTGAGGCCTGTATCACATATAGGGTTACGTTCACATTTTAATACATTTCAAAAATGGTACCCAAGTAGTAGTAGCACTACTCTGTTTATTTATTTTTGTCACATAAAAGTAAAAAGTAGTGATCCAAATAATTACTCAAATTACAGTCAAAAAGTACTAGATAAAAGGCTACTCAAGAACTTAGTAGCTGTTAGCTTATAGCATCTAATTTAATGTTTGTAAATGATGTAGTCAGATAGACATGATGCAGAAAATTCTGGTATTTAATGAAAATAAATACAAATAAATAATGTGATAACATAACAAACCCGTGAGAGAGGAAACACAATCTTTTTTTGTAACATAAAACCAACTCTAATCCATACGAGGGGAATTGTATGTTAGGAAAAGGTAAAGAAATTCCAATGATGATATCGACTGTTTACAGTGTAGAAACCTGATCTTAAGTAGCTCAAGATACTCACAGAGAGCAGAGTAGCCACATTTTACTCCAGAAGTAGTATTGATGCTTCACAGGAATATTACTTAAGTCATTGTAGCTGGATGAATGTAACTAGTTATTACCCAGCTGTGAATTAGGATTAGCCATGGGGCAATTGTACAGGTTTAAGCTAAATCTAAGTCTTGTTTGATAACTCTGATTAAATTCAGAAAAAGCTAAAAAACAATCCAGTGGACTTTGTTTCCAAGTTTAATGAGGTTTCACTTCCCATCCAGGAAGCTTTTTCTATTGAAATGTCAGAAATAATGTTGAGTTTGAGGCTTTATACAGTAGCCCAAAAAAAGCTTTGATTTTGCTGAGACAACATGCAAATTGAAACTGACCAACAGGTCAGTTTCAATTTCAAACTCCTCTACAGGGGAACAGAAAACCCCACCTGTTCAGCCATACCAACAATTCCCTTTAGTGACCACCCTTTCAGAGACATAGACAGTTATGAAGCATTGCAAGCTAACAAGTGAAGCCAAATGACCCCCATTCCAAAGGGGTTGAGCCGTTCGTCCGTTTCAATTCGCATGTTGTTTAAGCAAAAGCCAGACTTTGTTGGGCTACTGTATAAAGCCTCACACTATTTCTGACATTTGAATTAAAAAAGCTTCCTAGATGGGAAGCGAAACATCTTCAAATTTGGAAACAAAGTGGATTGTTTTTTTGTTTTTTGTTTTTACTTTTTTGGAATGACTATGAACCTGGATGCCTCAGAATCTTCACCAGCAACTGTGATTAAAGTATGCGAAATATTGGAGAATATATTATTGTATTATGAAGGCAGAAAAAGGCCTTGAAGGAAATTTGATGGCATTATATTTGTAACAACAGATGAAGCTCATGAGAGGTGATGGGATGATTGGAAATGCAGGACTCCAAAATTATGACTTAGGTAATCCTAATTTATAAAAAGCATGTAAAAATCTCCTTCATTAATATGTCAGCATATATA